TTTGCCCTTTCCACATCAGAACCTGGTGGTATACCCGTTGACTATTGTAACCTACAGCTGCAGATGTTGGTGGAATATTCTCAGACCCTACACACGTAACGCTTGTAGCAACTTTCTGAAAGAATTTTCCCATTCTGAGTGAATCCAATGTTTCATCCGACACCATATAAAAGGACCAACGCTTTTTCTCCTGACTCCACAATGTCGTCTTTTGAAGCATCATCTTGGTCAAACACTAAAGCATGACATTAAAACTGCTTGTTTGTTTGTAAAAGTGAACCTCCATCAATAACACACTTAACCTCAATGAACATGTCACTAGTAATGGGACCAACACATTTCCAGACTGTTTTGGCTAAAGCTGGTTTGTTTGCTTCCCACATCAGTCCATCAGAGGCAAACAATGCTGGTGGATGAGTACACAGCTCATAGGTGAAAAACTGGACAACTCGTCTGTTGATACAATTCCCTTTGCAATGGAAACACATCTTTGAAATAACAACTGGGGATCGACTTGTACTTCATCTGCATCAAGCTTTAATGTTTTCACACCTAATGTTTTAGCCTGTTCCTTTTTAGTGAATGAAAAATCACTTGCGCTTTTTCCAATCATAGACTTTTATTATTTAAGCACCAATAGACCTAGCATTATCAACATTTACTGTGTTTCATCAGTGAACAAGCCAAGAAGTATGATGTAACACCAGTCCTGGCGCGTTTCAACCCTTGGGATATTTGACTATAATAGGGCGTGTCTACATCGCGCGTTAAAATTTGCATATAACATTAGCGCGTAACAAAGTTGTGATAAAGGAAAGAGTGGTATAAACAAGGATCAGTGATTACATGAAATCGATACCAGTAGGGGGGACTAAAAGAAAAGTTATATAACAATTTATTATTTAATAATTTATTAAAATACTATAGTTTGTCCAACTCCCTGTTGCTAGATCCAGCTTGTTTCACTGGGCGGTGATAACGGGCAGCTATGCAAAGTATCACAGCCGAGTCTCTGGGCTAAGTCTGACGCCATGATCAATATTTATCAATTAAGTTTCAGTGGGGGTAGGGGAAAAAACTAAAGGAATTAAGTTTTTTTATCTTACATCGATCTTTTGACGTCATCCCTTAGGGACTTCCTTTGATTATTTTCATTGAATGTGCCAATATTTGTTCCCTGCAAAACTTTGTATGCAATTTGTCTCCATGTCTGGTTTACATTTTTTCAACAAATCTTTCAGCCTCCCCACGATTTCAAGTGGTATATACCTTGTCAGATTCTGGGCAAATCACGATTTGCATATAATTAATATTCAATATACACTCACACACGGTCACATAAGGGATCAAAAGCGTTGGGTCATTCCAGTTTTTATCCACATCCCCCCCCCCCTACGGATGGATATTAAGGTTATGACACCCTATGAATTCAAATCCACCATTCAGGTGTCGGATTTTTGTTAACACACCCCCTGGAAACTACTGATTTGGCGTATACGGATGGGTGTGTGAAAAAATTATACCCCTCGGATACACACAAAAACAGAACCCCTCGGGAAAAAAGCAGTGTGACTTGCAGTGTGACTGGCCTACTTGGGTCTTCTAATTATAAAAAAGAAATTGGTAAATTGAGATGGTATGTTGCGAAGAGCAGTGCAGTTGGAAGGAGTCAATGATTTTTTTTTGGGGGGGGGGGG